ATATGTGTACCTCTGTGACATATATACGATGCTACAAACGTCTGATTACAATTCTAGTTGATTGCATTTGGGAGTCGTGCAACTTCGCGTTTTAAATATATCAAAGTATATTATTCGAATTCATACGAGGGGCCTTGGAAGAAAATAGAAGCGGTTTTCAGTGCGTAAGCTTAAGAACTGCTGGAAGAAAATTGCAACCTTTTCTGCTGCGCTGCTCTCTTTGGCGGAAACGAGGACGGCAATTTTCACCCACCTGCGTGATTGGCATATTTCTAATGCTGTTCTCGTCCGTTTCACGGACGAGAACAGCATAAGCCTAACACCAAACAAGCATAAGCCTAACACCAAACAGCATTTGTGTAAGATCATGAGTCGTGAAAAGCACGGATATAGTGATTGCAGAAATCTTTTCAGGAGCTTGTTCGCAGTGTACTGAGCCTCTGAGAAAACTTACCAATCGCGCAGAGAAGGTTGTCAGAATATATTTGAATACTGAATATGGATACGTCGGAAGAATCTCACGCTGACACGTTTGAAAGGAGGTAACGTGTTAAGGGCACTCGAAACTAGGCCTACCCTTGATATCTTTTATCATAAGTTGCATTTACGTCTCCGAAATAAACAGAGATCCTTCAGAATTTTTCTTTACTGACAGGTACCTGTCATATCGAATAATTCGTGGCGTCATGTCTAGTGTCTTTATTTTTGTTCGTGCTTCACGTCTCCATCAATTTGTTCCTAAAACGTGTTATATTTGTTTTCTTAATGCTTAGTACATTATCTAGACAACTTTATAATCGCTATATTCGAATATGAATGAAATATAGCACTTTTATCCCAAAGAAACATTTTCGTACTTATTGGTTTTCTTTCTTGATACACGTCAACGCGAATAACATCCCCTTTCGTATCAGAGCTCACGTCTTGTTAAGCCGCATTCGAGATTGTGTATGACAGCACGCACCCTTTCTGCTCGCCTGCAGACAAGAAGGTAGCGGCTTTAATCCCAAACTTGATGGCCGCATTTTGACGGAGGTGAAATGCGAGAGGCCTGCGTACTGGTTGATGCCAGCGCACGCTAAAGAACACCAGGTGGCGGAAATTTGCGGAGCCCTCCTGGAATAAGGCTTGCCCCATAGTCATGTCACGGTTCTGGTACGTAAAGCTCCGCAACAACAACAACAACAACTAATAATAATAATAATAATAATAATAATAATAATAATAATAATAATAATAATAATAATAATAATAATAATAATAATAATAATAATAATAATAATAATAATAATAATAATAATAATAATAACCCTTGTTTCTACGTAAACTGCGCTTGTCGGTAAAGCAGGTTCACAAAATAAAAAAAAAACAAAAGAAAACGCTGCCGCTTACCAATCCAGCAGACATTGACACCTTCAACATCATGTCTGCGTATACGTTTAAATACGAGCACTAACATTTTTTTATGCTCAAAACACGTACTCTACTGAGCAAAAAAAAAGAAACAACCCTCTAAACAGCTTCAGCTTTACTTAAACACTCGGACAACTAAGAGGGCCAATTAAGACGCTTAATTTAATGAATTTTCAAATATCATTAGCAAGGAATCGGCGAAGTATCTCTGCCAGTGCACGGCAAAAAAAAAAAAAGGACTCCCTACGCCACTTACCCGGCAACATGCACATGGAAAAGTCCATACGTTGGCCAGCTCATAAAGAATGTACGAGTGCGGGCGACGGAAAATCGCCATCTACATCTAGAGATAGCTCGACACCCACCTATAGCTCGCATCTTCACCCTCGCTGCTCGACAGATCCATGATGCCGCGCTGTCACACTCGCGAATGGGTCGCTTGTTTACCGTCAGCCGCCGAGTGCACAGGAGAAACACGCCTCGCGAATACCATACAGAGTATATACATCCTATATACATCCTATATACATCCTATATACATCCTATATACATCCTATATACATCCTATATACATCCTGAAAGGCGGCTATCACGGACTGGCCAGTCGTGAACGTTTCTTTCACACGTCTACGAATACACGACTAAAATCATATGTACCACTTGAGAAAGTTGCGAGTTCGTGAGATAAACTCACAGGGTATCCCATGCGTAACGCCTAAGACAAGTCGAAGACGAAAGCCGGCTTTGTTTTTCTCTTCTTGTTAGACGTATTGAACCTCGTTGAGGCATTTCACTTGGGTAGTTGGTATTGGCTGAATGCTTCCATATCACAAGCAAACACGCAGAGGACACTACAAGAAGAGACAGGACAACCTCTAGACTTCAACTAGCAGTTGTTCGGTCTCTTTTTGTGATGTCCTTGTGCGTGTTAGCTAGTAATATGAAAGTATCGAAACTGCCTCGCCCTCCTCTGCAAAATTTCTGCATATAGAGTGGTATTTCACTGCCGTCAGTATTGGGAGCAGTTCTAGCATTCGCACCTTTGCACAGTCTACGAGAATGTCCGACGTTTGGCCTAATGAAGATGTTGTGTGATGACGTCTTTACGACATAACAGATCTTTTTGGCAATTTGTTACTTCATTGCCAAAGTGACGCCATCATGCGGCGATTTTTGCATTGGTCGTTTTGATTTCGACGCCCCCGACGCCGACGCTTGATGTTTGTGTTTCTGGAGGTACTTACATCTTCACCTTAATAAGTATTATTCAGTGTATTGTGAATGGCAGTCCTTATTATGTTTAGTTTTTGCCTAGTCACTGCGAACCGTTAGAGCCAAATGACTTCCTTGCGAGTACTGTTCTATGGGCTTAAGTGTAGTAACAAATGTTTTGATTTGCAAAATTGTGTTTCAACAAACACATGCTTGCTGCTGTTAGGAAACTCTAGAATGTTTGGACCAGTGTGTATTGCCGATGCATATCCAAGCCATTTTGTTAAGCTGCAGCAGCTCTTAAAAACGAGGCGCAAAATCACTGTGATGTTGTAGGTATTAGTATAGATAAAAGGCACGAAAAAAAATTGTGTCGGGAATTTGTCCTGGTTTCTGTATTTTCCGACCAATTCGGAAAACACTAATTCTCACAGAACAAGCAATCTTTCTAGCAAGCATAATTATTAGCGAAGATGACCAGAGTGTCACAACTCGATCTTGTGTCAAGAAAAGAAACACGAAAAGGCGTGTTGAGAATGCGGCCACCGGCCTCAGAACTCTTGTCCCTTGATAACTGACTAAAGAGCTTTCGCACCTTACGTGTGGCTAGCCCAGATGAACAAGTCATATATCATGGGACTGCCGTACGGATGCGAGAGCCATCCATGATGCTTCATAAAAGCCACCTGTACAGATTCGACTGCTTGGTGAGCTGGCTGTTTAGCTCGTTTGCACGCCCTTTTAGCGAGTAAGTATACGCGTTGCGGGAGTCAGTGTGACGTATCATTCCCATCTCGAGCCTTTGTCGTACGGTCGTTGAGAATCTCGGCTCTCATGTGTTGGAGACGTGTTATCCTGGAAAGCAGATCATATCCCCCATTTGTGCATCTATCTATCAGCGAAAGCAACAGCTGCCCACCGACGATGTCCACCGACGATGTCTTCTTAGTGGCCGGTGCATTTCGGCTTCATTGCTGGCGCTGCTTGTTGTTACGACTGGCTTCGCCGGAACGTAAGCATAGCGGAAATCGATGTCTGATCCGTATCCATACGTGACGATGCGCTGACGCTAAGATCCAGTCAGTCCTGTCTTCTGTTACCAAGTAGCTGTACGAACGAGTACTCCTGCCGGACTCCTTTTGGCGGTAAGAGCAAAATGGTGTCCAGTTGAAAGGCTGTGGTTGGCTGTACCGACAAATATTTCCGCTACACGACAGTTTGTTTTGGGGTTAATGTGTTCGTACTTTCGGCGCTTGTTTAGACTGCCATCTCTTTATTTTTTGCGCTTCCGAGACACCCCCTATCCCCCTGGCTAGGAGGGGATGTCTTTTGTGCGTGCCAATCGTTTTTGGCGAGAGTTTTCATGCACTCGTAACCGTATCCACATGCACAAACATGAATTCACATAGACTGACGTCATGCGTGCGTAGACACAAGCACGCATGCGTATATTGACTCGCGGGATTCGTAGTTCAATATATGCACGGTCTTCAAGTAGCCGTGTTTGTTTGTCGTTACAGTTCACAGAACATGAGGACAACTAAAGGTAGCGTACACACATAAACGAGCCTTTTAATCGACTGCAAAAGACAAGATATTAAGCCTTAGTTCGTTCACCCGTGCAAGAGAGACTATATACGCACAGTCAACCCCAAAAGTTTACGGACCTTCACGACATGTCTGCTGCGTCAGCGGCGATCGACAGCACCGCAGCGCCTGAGAAGCATCCCTCCCTTAATCTATGGCCTGTCCCTTTTTTCTCTGTGTATACATTATTGTTGCCTTTCGCTGTCACTGCTTTCACTGCGTACTACAAACGGGCAGTTGACAATTCCACCGATTTCCCTTTCTTTGCACCACTGGGTTGCGCAAGGGGGGGGGGGGCATGAAGGTGAGAGGGCTTGACATAATTGGGAGAGCCTTTCTGCGACTCAAGTGGGAGGGGGGAATGCAAGGTTAGCCCTATACATTATTATAATAGGGAAATGGGCGCTGCTACGAACCTTTGTCCTCCCTGAGAAGCAACCCCGCGAACGCCTGTGCTTAGCACTGTAAATGAAACATCAGGTGTTCTCGGTGTCAGTATCGTCGAAAAATACGAGTGTTCATAAGTTTCATAACTTTGCGAATGAAAGAACGACGTGAAATGTAAAACTGAGTAAACCTGCGCAGAAGCATAGGCGCCCCTCCCCCCTTTGTGTGATAGGAGGGGGAAGGGTACCTTTTTTATCTGTCTCCTTCGAGCACTCGCCTGTGCTCATGTCCTTAGCAGCATCCGCGGAAAATGCCTTCAACTTTGTCACGATTATCCGGCTGTACGATATACTTCGAGTGTAGCATGTGCATTTCAGAATGGCAGCCGCCACTGTACAGACCTGTGTCGAGCGAAGCGTCTCCGATGTCTAAGGACAAGTCGAGGGATGCGATGATGTCGGTGCAAGGCTTGCGCACTGCCTTGCCAGCCAGTGTGGGCGGCCAGCAGGTGAAGGAGTCCCAGGCTGCCGGACACTGTACCGAACTCAAGTATCCTGCGGCAGAGAGTGAAAAAAGGAAAGACAGGCTTTAACGACGTCTTGTTCGAACAGAATGTGAGAAAAGGGGGTGTGACGGTTAGTAAAAATTGTGTCATATAATCTATTCCGAGTGCCCCCTCAGCCGTCAATTACCCTCTCCCCCTCATTCTCATCCACAAGGCCGATATTTCTTTCGGCTTTCACCCTGGTAAAGTTAAGCAATGAATTCCCTCCCTTCCTTATTTCACACAATGGGATTCTTGCTGCACCTTTGATCCTAATCCCTGCCTTTCCTTGCGTCTTTTCTCTCTCTCTCTCTCTCTTTGTTCCTAAACACAGGCTCACAATGAGCACTTTTTCTTCCTTGTTTTGACTGCAGCTTCGTAATCCTCATCCCATTGTTATCGGTAGCTCTTGAACAGGCCCTCATTTTCTACAGCTGACGTTAGCTTTTCGAAATACCTTCGAAACCATCACACAGTTCGCGTTACCTGTTCCATCGCATGAGGCCCTCCAATTGTCTACGGGTGGATCGTACCTGACACTTACGTCATTCGCTGTGAGTAAAAAAAAGCAGCGTCTGGCATTTCGCGTTGGCGCAAATTTACGACACGACTTTATTTCAGTTGAAACAGTGCTTCAAATTCAAACCACTACCTTTCTTTCTTTCTTCCTTTCTTTCTTTCTTTCTTTCTTTCTTTCTTTCTTTCTTTCTTTCTTTCTTTCTTTCTTTCTTTCTTTCTTTCTTTCTTCTTTCTTTCTTTCTTCTTTCTTCTTTCTTTCTTTCTTTCTATCTATCTTTGATTCTCTCTCTCTTTCTTTATTTCCTTCTCTCTCTCTTGCTTTCTTTTTTCTTTGTTTTCTTTCTTTGTTTGTTCTTTCTTTTTTCTCCCTTCCTTTCTTTCTTTCTTTCCTTCTTTCTTTCTTTCGTTCTTTCTTTGGCAAAGACAACAGTGCGGCAAAAACAAACAGTGCGCAACCGTTACGGCACAACTGCATGCGAAGTCCCCTTTACGCGAGAGAGCCGCACCTTCATGCTGCAGCGCGTAATATCACAACTCCATGGGGATTCGGCGCGCGCAATTAAATGTAGGGCTTCCCGGCAAGTTGTTGCTTCACCGTGGTGTCACTGTCACACATGCTTTACATTTGTTTCCCCTTCTTTAGGCCCCTGGAAGGACAACTGCACCATAGGTGGCAAAAAACTGATGGCAAGTAACTTTCCTCTTTACTCTGCAGTACGTACGTGCGTGCCATTCCTATTTGGCAGGGCCACCATCTGCAGCAAGGTGTGGAAGCGGGCCAGTTGGTAACCGCCGTCTGCACAGCGGCGGGCTTGAGGGCTCGAAACGCGCGCCATGTCGAAACGTATGTAGATACTAGTTAAATCTGTGCAGTACTGCAGAACTCGGTTGATATGTAAAATGTGAGGTGACGGAGAGAGAACACTTTGCGATAGGAGACCTTCTTTTTGTGACACGAGGTCTCGCAATGAGACCCTGTGCATTGCTTTTCTCAAAGTTTAGTCCTTGTTTTTCTTTGTGTCAATAGTTTGACAAAGGAAGGTTCTTACGTTGATTTGATGCAAAAAACATGTACTTAGAATACGACCACCGCCTTCCCGCATTTCAGCAGGAGGATACGACGTGGATTCTTGTTACCAGGGGCAGAGCTTTCGTCGCAGCTTTCTGAGCACGCGAAAAAGGAAACTAAACGGAGAGAACAAGGAAAGAGCTTTCTTAATAGGGAAGAAAAAGCGCAAATGAACTGCGACGGCTGCAATAGCTGAAGTAACTGTGTACTTAGCATACTTCGGAGATACCTTCAGCTGCCAAGTTAATTACTGTGATAGGTGTCACTTATCAGATAACGTCAACGCATGTCTCCGAAGCATGGGTATATTTTCGCTTCTGAAAACATAAATGAAAGACAACAAATGAAGAAACTCAAAACGAGGCAATAAACTTTATACTTAATTTGTTTATTTGTTCCTGTCTGACGTCATCATTGTAATGTCGTCCCTGTGCGTTATGGCGTTACAATGAAATTCATATGCACTTGAACATGGGGCCCGAACAGAATACCAAATATGTTTATGTATGAACCATGTAAATAGGCTGAATGAATTGATTGAATAAAAAAGCACGTGAGCAAAAGAAATTAAAAGAAAAAATTCAGCAGATCCTATGTATCTGAAAATTGACGTTATGCGAAGCATGCGGAGGAAAGGTGACAACGTTGCAATTTTTTTTATTGTGCGACACGTCATGAAATGACGCTAAATATATGTGCAAATGTTGCAAGCACAGGCTTATGTTGAAGTGTTGCAGATGTTTATGTAACCAGTTGTTTGCACTCGCGCAACGATGTCGACTAGAACATGCGTATTAGCAACCCCAGAAGCTAATATGAAGCGCTGATGCTGGCGAAGATGCTGGCCCTTGACACTGCTAATTAAATCAACCACGAGAGCACCACGAGAGCAATTACGTTCAACCACGAAATCAACCACGAGAGCAATTACGTTTGGGTGACCACGAGAGCACCCAAACGTAAGCGGCTAGATAGATAGATAGATAGATAGATAGATAGATAGATAGATAGATAGATAGATAGATAGATAGATAGATAGATAGATTTTTATTTATTATTTTTTTATTTATTTAATACTGTAAGCCTTTCTCAGGCTCATACAGGGTGGGCGAGCAAATATACACAGTCGCGTACAAACCAGGCAATATTGCACATAGCGGAAGAAACAGAATCACAAGATGATGGTGAAAATAAAACTTGTACGATGAAAGCAATTGTACAAAATCATTGACAGGTCACGAAACATCAAGGTATCAGCAGGGGGTACTGTGATCGGTGTGTTCGGAAGCGCTCACAAACATAAAAAAAAAGTTGCTTTTAGTCTTCATAAAACAGGCTTTCTACATTCCGAACGAATGAATCTACAGAGGAAGCGCTCACAAACATAAAAAAAAAACAAAAGTTGCTTTTAGTCTTCATAAAACAGGCTTTCTACATTCCGAACAAATGAATCTACAGAGGAATGATTAACGCATTCACGTGGCAATTTGTTCCACTCTTCCACTGCTGACGGGAAGAATGAATATTTAAAAGTGTCACAGCGTGACATAAATGGTCTAATGCACTTATTGTGGTTGGTACGACGGGAGTGATGGTTAGGCGGCTTTATATAGTTGTCTTTATCTATGTTTAAACCGTTGTGATACAAAAGAAAAATAAACTTTAAGGAAGAGACATGGCGACGGGCTGCAAGGGTCGGCAAGCATGCCCGCCTGCGCAGCTCAGTGACACTGTCATGCCTCGAATACTTAGAATAGATAAAGCGAAGGGCCTTGCGTTGGACCATTTCTAATTTGTCGGAAAGATATTTTTGGGGGGGGTTCCAAACAATGCTGGCGTACTCGAGGATCGGCCTTATGAGAGATTTATATGCTATCATCTTTACATTAGGAGGCGCCAATGCAAGTTTTCGACGCAGGAACCCCAGCTGGCGATAGGCTTTTGTGTATGTGCTGCTTATATGTGCATCCCACTTCAGTTTACTTGTAAAGGTAACGCCCAAGTATTTAACAGCGTCGTTTCTTGCAATGTTTGTGCCGACCAAATTGTAACTAAAATGCTGGATTGTTTTTCTGCGAGTTATGCTAAGGCAAGCTGTTTTTGACACGTTAATTTCCATTCCCCACTCAAGACACCCACATGCAATATTAGTTAGTGTGGTATTAAGTCTAAGCTGGTCATCAGTTGTGCGGATAGTGGTGTAGATCACGCAGTCGTCAGCGAATAATCTCATTTCAACGTTAGGCTCAAGGCACATATAGATATCATTAACATATATTAGGAACAAGGTGGGTCCTAAAACAGAACCTTGTGGTACTCCGGAAAAAACTTCCAATGAATCAGAGGCTGTGTTGTTTACGGTTACATACTGGCTTCGATTTGATAGATACATTTTTATCCATGCTATTATTTTACTGTTAATACCAATAGACACAAGTTTGTCAATCAATTTACTGTGAGGCACCTTATCAAAAGCTTTGGCGAAGTCTATAAATATGGAGTCGGTTTGCAATTGTGAGTTAATAGTAGTTACGAAGCCATGCGTTATTTCCAAGAGTTGAGTGACGGTAGACAGGTTCTTACGGAATCCGTGTTGGTTTGGGTGCAATAAGTTGTTGTCTTCTAAATAAGTAATTATTGCCTTGTTGATTACATGTTCCAATAATTTACAGCAGCAGCTAGTTAGCGAGATAGGCCTGAATGTTTCTATGGACAGCTTGCTCCCGCCTTTATGAATTGGAATAACCTTTGCACACAACCAGTCGGCAGGTAAAGAAGCTGTTAGCAGGGATGCTTTAAAAATTGCTTCAAGGAAGGGACATAGTTGCTCTGCGTAGCGTCGAAGGAATACATTTGAAATATTGTCAGGACCCACTGATTTCTTAACATCGATCTGCAACAGCAGGTTCAGAATACCTTCCGTAGTGACAACGACATCGGGCATTAAAAAAGGATGCACCAGAGCAACAGGGCTGCTTGGTGCGCATGCTCGTGTAAATACCGACTGAAAATACCTATTGAAAGCATTGGAAACGGTCTGCGCGTTCTTTACGATAGTACCCTCTATTTCTACTTCAGTTGTTGGGTTTTCAGGCCGTGCCAAGAAACGCCAAAATTTTTGCGGCTGATCCGTCATGAAGCGAGATAACGTATGTGAAAAAAAAGTTTGTCTTGCATTTCTAATTTCCGCCTTAAGCTGAGATGCAAGTTCCTTTAAGATGATTGGATTCCTCTTTTTCTTACGCATTCTCTGTACCCTTCTTTTAAGGTGAATAATACGGCGATTGATCCATGGTGTTTTTCTTTGTGTGCGTTTTAGTTTCGTTGGGATAAAATTTTGTTCACAGTACGTAATTATTTTTTTCAGTTGAATCCACATACCATTAACACCCTCACATTCCTCTAGAGAAAAAGTCTCTAGTGCTGTGTCGAGGTAATCAATAACACAAGCACCATTAGCTCTAGTGTAGTCTTTCACGGCTATCCGTGAATTTGTGCCATCGGGTTTGGTATTTAAGCATTCAAGGTTAAAAGTTATGATTAACATTTTGTGGTCAGATATTCCATCTTCTACAGTGGCTTTACCGGATAGCTTATCGGAAAGGAAAGCTAGGTCTAGTATGGAGCGAGTGTTTCCTTGAATTCGGGTTGGTCCCTGGACCAACTGGGACAATGAAAAATTGAACATTAAATCGTATAATAGCTCGCTGTTGGCGGTAGATAGATAGATAGATAGATAGATAGATAGATAGATAGATAGATAGATAGATAGATAGATAGATAGATAGATAGATAGATAGATAGATAGATAGATAGATAGATAGATAGATACGCCCAAAGTCGCCGAAGTTCGCTAAAAAATGCTTCGTAATTAAAACAAAAGGCTTCTGTACAACGTGCGCCCAAATACTATAGTGCCACGATTCACAGAGCGAATCAGTCAATGCGTTGCTATATCGTAAAATTAAAATGTCTGTTTTTGCGCTTCGCGCTATTCTGCCCTCTTTTCTCTGCACGTTATTGCAATTGTGGCTACTTTAGGAAGAAAATGAAAGCGGGAATATGCCAAGAGAAAACGAAGAATCAACTCATGAAGAGCCATATCATGTAATGCGTTGTGCAGAACAGAGTAAGGAAAGCAATCCCATAACCTGGGTGATAATAGAAACACTCGCACACAGACACATGTGCACGCACATGCACACACGCATGCACAACCGCAAACACGGCACGTGCGCGGCTGAAAATGCATGCGCACGCGTAGAAACGAGAAATGCAGCGTAGAATAATGTAAAAATTTAGAAAGGAAAAATAAAATAAAAGTATTACTCTCTACCTTGTACTGAGAGTGTGTGCGAGGCTATATCTGCATGTTCGTGATGTTTCCATAGTTTAGGGCTCCACGGGGAATGATTTTGACGACTGAGAGAGACAGAACTATGAAGAAAGACATAGAGGTTAACCAGAGGAAGACTATGGTTTGCCACCATGTACCTGGGAATGGGAAAAAAGCAGTAAGAAGAATGAAGCAGAACAAGAGGCTGAGACACCAGGCAAATGAAAGAAAAGGTAGTGACTGGAGCACCATTAGTTAACTACGCAGTTACATTGTCCTTAAACAGTCGCAGCTTGTCACTCAGTCCGATTGCTTGAAGGCGAGGTTTGACGAGTGTGTTATCAAGAAGTCCTTCATGTGGTACATATTCAACACTAATTCAACAAAGGATGTAACAGCCTTTACCACTCCACTGAGGACGCATAATACGT